AATCGTTGTGTTTTTGTTACCTGAGAATGAGCTGTTTTAATCTACAGACGCCTTCTATGGAGTCGGCCATGTTAAACCATCAAACACTGGCTTTAAATAGAGGCGGTTGCTTTTTCCACACGTGTCACAGCCACCGTAGTTTCTCCTTTTGCGCTGGGGAAGAGGAGGGTGAAGCGACAATCTACACCACTAGATGCCACTGAATCCTACACACTGGACCTTTAACTCTGAGCTGATGCAACATTTTAGCAAAATTGGGTGCTACAACAGAATCAGAGAGTGTACCTTTAAGTAGATGGAAAAAATGATTAATTTTTCCATGTGGAGGTTGATCTGCCAGATTTAGAAGAACAGCCACCAGTTAATCAGTGTCACAGCTTGAGCACCATGACTGCAGCACAGAGCCGGTTATATAATGTATGACTGTGGGATTCCCAGCAGCTCTGCCTCCTCCACTCAGCAGTCTGAGGAGAGGAAGGGGGGTGCTACAGAATGGATGGCAGCAGAGGGAGGGGGGTATTGAGATTGTGATCATGAGTGTGAAGGGCTCAGATTGGCCACCCGCTCCTCCACTCTTCAATAATCCAATAATTGCAGACAGCATCTTAACAGGGGATCCCTCTGCTTCTGCAGCCAGGCTGAATGCAAGTCACATCCGTACTGTGCCGCCTGTTTGTATTGAACCACAGCGCACAGCAATGAGCAATTTAAAGGACCAGTGTGTATGTGATGGTTGAAAGTATCCAACATGAGTGTGTTTATATATAAACATACTGTATGTTGAGTGCTGCATGCTCTCACTGCTTCTCATGCGGGTTTGGTCAAATATGCATAGCCATAAAAGCCAAACCTTATATGACTTATACATTATTCACACAGTGACATCAGTTTCTCTCAGGACTTTAAGGACGTCCTCTCCACTTCTTCACTGTGAGGTTGAACAGCAGCAGAACAGAACCACAACATCTGACTCTACAAAGCTGAACAATGCAGCTTTTCTCTTTCTCTTTAAGTTTTTCCCTCTATCTTTTCTGTTCTCCTCCCAGAGGTTAACACAGACTGCAGGCTGACAGCTTCAGCAGTTAAACTTTTTAACACTCAGGATGTCAGGTACTTTTTCAAAGAGTGTGCAAAATGTGAAAACTATGCTTCTATAATAAATATGTTTTAGCTA